ACACCAGTCATTTTGACTGGTTGGTCTTTGACTTGATTTGGTATCAAGAATATTTTCATACCAAATATTCTTCATTATTGTTAATATTATAATTGTTATTATATAGCTTGTAAGATCTCAGAATATGGAGTTTCTTTTGTAAAATAATAATAAAAAAAGGTCAATAAATATAAAAATATTCAACTTTTACATCTTTTTAAAGACCATTAGTCATTCTGACTAGTTTTGGTAAAGACAGCTACGTCTCAACTGTTGGTAGTTCTAGTGTTAATACTTCAATGAAATATACGTAAATATTCTTTCCCCACTTTACCCATTTATTCATTAAAACAATGTTTGTAAATTTTTATAAAAAATTAGTTAACAAAACATTCATAAATCAATAATAGTGTTAATCTTGATAAGATAGAAACAACTGGTTTTACGATAAACGATTATATTCGATATCGAATACCAATGACATTCCACATGTGCAATTCCATTCCATTGGCATGTTAGTAAACGGATATTCTCTCGTTTTTAATCGACGAATAGAAAAGATATTTGTAGATCAAAACAAGTTTAAAAAGAAGTCTCACATATAACAATCTACCAATGGCGCTAGCCACGTAATAAGATAGTTCGAGTTTCGTATTAAGTAATAATAATAATAATAATGATAATGATAATGATAATAAAGTCATGAAACATTCCAACGTGTCAGCAGAATTCATTACGATCGAGTTTAACCACTCGAGGTGTTCATTTACCTTTTATATATATATATCTTCTCTTTCGTGACTCTCTTCTTTATCTCGTTTTCCTCTTACCGCACCTCCCACCCCTCTAACCAACCCTCTTCCCCCAGATCTTTACACCATTCAGACGTGAGAAAAGAAGAGTCGAATTTTTACCACGGAAAGATGAAGTCTTTTTTAACCAATCATTTAATCTTTTTATTCTTATTCTTATTCTTTCTTACAATATTGATCTTACAATTAGACCGGAAACGATTGAAGGAAAATGTTACTTGTTCACGAAAAGATAATTGCAATTTTTCAATGAAAGAACACAATGAAGAGTTTATTTACAAAACTAGTATTAATAATTTTCATTATATATAAATCAATAGAGAGTAATGTTTTTGTTGTTGTTGTTGTTGTATAAATTTGAGAAATTTCAATTTACTTTTTTCAATCTTTTAACACGAAGGTGTAAATACACAAAGAATAAAATAAAAATAAATGGAATGAGAAAGAGAGAAAGAATTGAAGATTGTTTTACAAAATAATACGAGACAAAGAATAAGAAAATGTGTAAATTGAAAAATTACAATCATTTCAGAACTGGTTGTTATTATTATATATAGCAGAGTATCCAAGTACCTTACCTGGGACCGTGAGAAAAACTAATCGTCCACTTATTTTTACCGTAGATCTATAAGATCTCGAAAATTAGATACGATCGATACCTTTAATAAAGAAACAGAAAGAGACAAGTAAGATCTTGGTTTCAGTTCGTTAACGGATTAATCACTCGAATTAATGTACCAAGTTCTACTGAAATTTCTCTTGGTTTCTCGGTTATCGTTTCGCAATATTATTCTTATACCTATTCGTGTTTTTCCTTTTTTTTTTTTTTTTTATTCATTCAATGATTAGCAACATAGTTGAGAAATTCGCGTAAACAATTTTTATTTAATTGAACTGTCTTGTTTTTTTTTTTTTTTTTAACATTTTTATACTTCGTGATGAGATGATGAATTAATTATTGAAATGATTATTATTTTCCAATAATTCGCATATATATTTTAAAAGGACGATGATTCTTATGGGGGAAAAAAAGAGTTCGATACGTGTAACGATTGATTGTACCGTTAGAAAGTGTGTTTTGTATGGGGCCGACTTATTAGGCATTAGAAACACATAGAAAACACGCGTCGCGTGTTCCAACACATCTTGCCAATCAGAAAAGAAGCTTTTTGTTCCTTTTTTTCTCTCTTTTTATTTTTATTTTTTTTTTTATTTCTTTTGTCATGTTACCACCTACGTGACTGGTTGTTTCTAACGAACTACCGGATATACACTATATGTTCTTTATTTTTTTTTTTTTTTGCAATTTCTAAATTTTTATTTTTTTATTTATTTTTCTTAATGATACAAATTAATAGGATCAAAATTTTTTTTAGTATTATAATTGACATTTAAAAGAAAAAAAAACAGAAATTATTTCATTTAAAGTATAATTGCAATTTTGTTCTTGTTTCCGTTACTTATTATTAGATAAAAAATAATCTAACAGCCTAACGTAATTTTTTGAAATTATAACCTTACTTTTACTGATTTCTTAGAACCAGAACCAATCATCTATTTTGCAATAAATGCAACATATTTTGGTAAACGTATACATCTTATAAAAACAAAATTTAAACAGCTGTACTTAAGGAAGCCAAGATACTTGTCAGCTTATTTTTTTTTTTTTGTCAATGAATTTTTTAATGAACGGAAGTTTAAGAAACCTAATAAAAATCGCGACTATAGTTTCCTTCCTTCTTAAATTCTCATACGTTATTGTATACCTCTCGAATAGCTGATAGCAATGTTTAAAAGTGTTAGTGATAGTAGTAGTGGTGGTAATAGTAGTGGGGGTTGATGGTGGTGGTTTTCGATACATCCGCCTTTCCTTCGAAAACTGGTAGAGAAGCGGAGAAAGCGTATCATTTTGGGCCCGTTATGCCAAAGGGAGGAAGAGGGGAACAACTCTTTCGGTCTTGAACGCGTTTCCGCTACGAAACGTGCGGTTTCCGGTGCGCAGTGCGCACCTATAACGACATCGACTAACAACACAACACACCTTTACTCTTTCCTGCAAAATCGATATAACTTTCCGTCAGTGAGTAGTTGACTCTCGATCGGATCGGACCAGTCGTCTTTATGAACACTATCCTCTTAACTATACTAATCGTTTCATATTACATATCGTTATCTGAGTATAATAAGTTTCCTTGAATAAGAACAACTAAAAATTGAGTTTAAAGAAAATAATCACACAACTTATCAACAAAAATTAAAAATAAATATCCTAATAAGGATTGACATTTATTTTATTTATTATTATTAAAGTGAACTAAAACAAATACCGAGTGTGTAGAAAAAAATAAGTGATTTTACAAATCTAAGATAATCGAACTTCAATCATCGTATTTTTTTGCTATTGTTGCTACTACCATCAACGTTGTTGAAACTCTAACCCCCTACCCTTCTCTGCCACCCCCTATATCCTTTCCTTTCCTATCTATATTATCAGTCTCAATAAACCAATTGAAATTCGTGACAATAATACACGTGAATACTTGGAATAATCGATCAGAAAAAAAAAACATTAATCCGATAACAGCTGACGCATTCCAAGGATATTATTCCGATCGATAGATCGATATATTGATATCAATCAATCAGAACGTCTCACCACAAATGCTTCGGTATGAATCAATTGTTGGATTCTCACCGAGTATATTATCCTCGGAACGTTCCAACGTTCTAGATCATCACCACCATCGAAACCATCATCACCACCACAGAGTTAAAGTTATGAAATACCGAAGGGCCAATGTACTACTGGGGGTTGCTTCGAAAAAAGGTTCGCGGTGTTTTGCATCAGAGTTAACAATTTTTCTTTCTGTTAGATTACTTCTTTTTCTAGTTTTCTTATTGTCAGATGGCTCGAACTTTTCTTTGTTCTCGAAGTAGCCCGACGTCTCGAAAAGTATTTCCCGATGAGATGGAAGTCAATATTCGAGCTTTTTCTTTGTACAAAGGGAACATAAAAAAATAATAAAGAAATATATATATATGATAGGATTGTTCTTTTGATGTCAAAAGATGTATATCTCAATTTGTTTATTATGTTAATCTATTTTACTTAATTTGATTAATTATATTTTATTTATTTTATTTTATTTTACTTTATTATATTTATATATTTTATTTAATTTAATTTATTTTAATTTAATTTAATATTATTTTACTTATTCGTATTTATATTCGTTAGATATACATTTGGTATAAACATACATTTATATTTATATACATTTCAAATAACGTTGTTATTTATACAAAACAAAAAAAATGTAACAAAAATTTTCTTATATACTCTTTAGATATTATTAAAATAATGGGAAATAAACAAATATTTATTTTCTTATTTACTATTTATAATTTAAACTATAAACTAGTTATATATATATTCAAACATACTACTGACCTAAATAAGACGTTTTCGATAAACAGGTTAATTTAACCTGTCAACGTTTTAAATATGACAAATTTTAACAATTATACGAAAAATATTATTTCTTTTTTTTTTCATAACTATAAATCAACGATTGAATATATTTTTGTTTCTTTATTCTCGAAAAAAAAATACTTGGAATTAGAGAAATCGATGTGAATTTCCTTTAAGGAAATAATCAATTTCGATGAATTCAAAGTAGTTGTCCTTGAAAGTTATGAAGCAATAATTTCCTCATCGTGTTTTCTCTTACTTCGTATATCTATATATATATTTCTTATGATCTTCGTGTAAAAATAAGAATCAGTTAAAATTATACGTAACGAAATAATTAATTTGTTCAATGGTTTGATTCTGTTACAGCACCCAGATCGTCAAGTGCAGGTACCAACAATCTACCACCTTTGACCTTCCATCAGGTGCACGGTGATAATATTCTACTTTGTAATGGCGGAACTATTGCAAGGAGGCACGAAAGTTTTTGCAAAGGAGTCACATTTAGTGCAAGACCAGTCCGAGTCGGTGAAAAGGTGAGAATCATGATGCAATCAATTATTTCTCGAGAATTACGTAAGATTTTTTTTCTTTTACTATCCTAAAACAATAAAATAAGGTTCAACGAACTATCTCAATTACAAACAACAACAAAAGGATATCAATATTCGATAAACTGTCGTTCCCATTTTTCAAATCACTTCCATTCTAAAGAAATTTTCACTTCAAAAGGAAAAAAAAAAAGAAAAGAAATATTTAATTTGTTAAAGGTGATAAATAATTAATTTGCAAATTCTCCATTTTGTAAAAACAAGTTTCGCATAACTTCGTTGCGTTGTACTTCATTCCCTTTTTTTTTTTTTTTTTTTTTTAATCTTGTTGTGGATCGTGAGAAATAGGTGACTTTAGTTTCACTCGATAAAACGAGTACATTTACATTCTCCATTTATTTTTTCTTTTCTTTTCTTTTTTTTTTTTGCGTGTTTCCGACCCTGAGGACACTACAACTATTTTACGTGGGTTGATCGTGTTTAGTCGTTGATCTAACACAACCGACCATCGTCTTATGGCTTATTCAAACTAATTCATCCATTTAGAAAATAGTAATAATTATACCCCTACGCATTTTGATTATATAAAATACATACGCGCGTGYATGTGTATGTGTATGTGTGTTTTTGTAAGTGGCGCCGATCTATCTACCGTTCTACTATTTCTTTCTCTATTTCTGTATATTTCTTGTTCTATCATTTTCTACTACGAATGTTTTTCTTCTAACTCTTCGAAAGTGATTGGCATAGCGTAGGCGAATAGGTCGAAGGTTTTTACGTGTGCTATCCAACTGATTTCACCGAATGGTTGTCTCTCATTTATCGATTTTTTCTTTGCTAACTAATTTCTTGTATAAAATCGCGTAGAAATTTTAAATTATTAACGCGATCTATGTGTTTTCATATTCTCTAAAATCATTATATTATAATACATATTTTTAAATAGGAATATTATTCTATTCTAAAAAATAATTTTGCCTTTTGTTTATTAAGTTTTAATAAAAATAAAATACTAAGAATGTTTTTGAAAAATTTAATTATACAAATTCTAAATTAAAATACCACCTTTCCTTAATACTTATTACTTATTATTTATTATTCTCATTTATTATTTTATTTTTATTATTATTATTATTATTATTATTATTATTATTATTATTATTATTATTTATTATCCTTAATACTTATTACTTATTATTTATTATTAAAATAAAAAAAAAACTATTAATATTTTTAAAAAATTTCATTTTCCAAATTCTAAACTAAAATACCACCCTTCCTTAATACTTATTACTTATTATTTATTATTAAAATAAAAAAAAAAACTATTAATATTCTAAAAAAATTTCATTTTCCAAATTCTAAACTAAAATACCACCCTTCCTTAATAATTATTACAATTCTTAAATAATTTAAGTTTAATTAAAGTTTTCATTACAAAACATCAAAGTATAAACTAAACAAGTATTTCTGCAAAAATTTCATTTTTCAAATTCTATATTAAAATACCACCCTTCCTTAATACTTATTACAATTCTTAAATAATTAATTTTAATTACAAGACATCAAAGTATAAATTAAAAAACAAAATGAAATAATAAGGGTGGAATTTAAATGAAAATAATATAATATAAAAATCGACATTTCATATGCATAGTATTATCGTAATAATCTTTTCTATGGTGTTAATTGTACATTCCTTATTATTAAAAGAAAGAAAGAAAAAATAATGTTCGTATAAATTTTCTTACAGTTGTAGTACTACAGTCTGTACAGTTTGCACGAAAAGATACATATTAAAAAAAAAAAAAAAAAAAATACCAGTTTATGAAATAATGAGAATCGACTTGTCCGGTGGCCAAGGATACAACTTATTTTTTATTCACTTCGTAGTAAATCACAAGGAGGAGGTGATGGAGGAGATGGAGGAGGTGGTACGATAGGCGCGATAATTTCTTCGCAATTAGATGCATCACGGAAGCGTGTCAGTTTAAAACTCTTATCCTCGTGGGATCTTTAACTGGTTGATGGTAGTAGTAGTGCTACTGAATATAATAAGCGATTTCAAGCTTAACGTTGAAATTAGTTAATATTAATTAATACAGCTACGCGTCGTTGTAAAGAAAAATCTTCGAAACAGAAAGAGAGAGAGAGAGAGAGAGGGAAAGAGAGAAAATCACCTTCTCGTCTGGTAGATAACGTTTTTATTAATTACCGAAACGCGATAGTAGGAAACTATGAAAGCGAGGTAATATAACACTAAAATAACTTTTCTCTCGCATTGTTGTTGTTTCTAATTTATTGCATGTTTTTACCATAAAAATTTCTTTGTCGAGAAATGATGTTGATGATGATGATGATGATCGATCGGTGTTGTTAAATTAATTAACAACAAAATTCACGGTGACTTATTTCAAATATCTTATTAGTTATCTGTTGGTAATTCATGTTAGGTTATTAAAAAATATACTTAGTACATTATCACCTTTTGCTTATAAAGGTAAATAAGATGAAACAAACAAAAGTGAACTTCTTATCATTTTATCTTTAAACAAAAAATGTATTATATTAAAAGAATTGTATATATTATGAAATTGTGTTTTTAGGTATGCGTGAAGTTCTTGGAAATCTCGGATAATTGGAGTGGTGTAATACGTTTCGGATTTACCAGCAACGATCCTATAAATTTAAGAAGTGGTCTACCAAGGTACGCTTGTCCCGACCTAACGAACAAACCTGGCTATTGGGCTAAGGCATTAGCCGAGAGGTTCGCTGAACCGGACACTGTTCTATTTTATTACGTCACATCCGCCGGAGACGTTCACTTCGGTGTCAATGGGGAAGAAAAAGGTTTATTCTTTACTGGCGTAGAAACTCGTAGTCCATTGTGGGCTATCATTGACGTATATGGGAACAGCACTGCCATCGAATTCGTCGATCCAAATCGACAACATTTTAATAATATCAGACGAGGTGCGGAACATAGTAACGAGGATAATGCACAGCACAGCAGGCACTCGGCGATGGACGATGCTAGCAATGCTGGTAGGGACGTCGAAAGAATCATCGTTCCGTCCATGCAAAGCATGTCGATCCATCATGAGCCTGACGTTGAACTACCTGGACTCAGGTTTCAACCATCCGGTGTCATCTTCACCCCGTTACCCTTCCACCAGTAAGTAGAAAAAATATTTAATCGTCCCAACGATCAATTTTATGTTAGAGAGAGAGAGAGAGAGAGAGAGATCCCAAAGTGTTTTTTTTTCTTTTTATCAAAAAAAGACACGTCTCAAAATCAAACACAATAATATTATACGTCTTTCATTCTCTCACTCTCTATTCTACTATACTATAATAATACCACCTCCCTCCTCCTCTGTGTTCGTCACTGAAGCGCACGCTAACCACTTCCTCGTCTTTCTTCATTTTATTTTTGCAGTACCCGCGGCAGGAACATCCGTTTCAGCAACCAACAGTGCGTGGCAACGCGCACCGACACGGAATTCTGTCACGGCTACGCCTTCACAGGACGACCATTGCTACTAGGCGAACGATTGGTCGTGCAAATCCTAGCGACGGAACCGATGTACGTCGGAGCACTCGCCTTGGGTTTGACCTCTTGCGATCCAGCTCGATTAACAGCCGAAGATTTACCAGACGATAGCGATCTTTTGTTGGATCGTCCAGAATATTGGGTAGTTTCTAAGGATGTAGCATCGAGTCCGCAACCTGGCGATGAAATTGCCTTTACCGTAACTCATTATGGGGAAGTTCAAATGAGCAAGAACGGTAGTCCACCAAACGTAGTCATGCACGTAGATCA